TCCAGAAATCCCTGCCTTTATTCTTGACCAAAATTCTATATAACACAACACTCGAACCTCTTTTTAAAAAACACTTCCGGACTTCCCTGGTGGCGCAGCGGGTTAAAGCACAGCACTGAGAATCTAAAGCCGCTTCCGCATGAGTTCGATTCCCGCCTGCCCCGGAGGTGACCACATGGCGTGGCAGACCTCTCCTGACCTGCCCGCTGCTCCCCTCAGCAGTGTACTTTGTCGATCTGCCTGTTTTGCTCCCCGCTGTCTCTGGTGAAGCCTCTCGCCACCCCTGAGCCTCTGGCCTGTACCCCAGTTCTGTATGTACAAATAAATAAATCTTTAAAAAACACTTCCATTCACTGTTCTTGCCATCCAAATTGCCCTTCTTCCCAAACTGGTAGTGGTACTGTTTCAAGTGTTCCTTGCTAAAGTGTTACTTGCTTCTCCAGCTGAAACCCATTCCTTCATAGTCTCAGCCTTTAGCAATTCCTCTCCATGACATGGACCCCATTATATCTTTAACATTTAGATTTCTACTTAAACATTTGCAGTGAAAACGAATCAATGTGAAGGCAGCAGAGGATAAAGCTGGGAATGAACCAATGGCGGAACAGCACCCTCAGAACAGCACAAGGTGGAGGTTCTCAAACTTGACTGCACATGGGAATTTCCAAGGTGACTGAAGTTTCTGAGGCCTGGATTCCAGCACAGAGCTCTTAGTTGCAAGCCTAGGCATTGAACTTCTCAAAGCTTCCCAGGGCACTGTGCGGTGAGCCACAGCTGAGAAGTACAGCTCTATGGGGATTACAGAGGGAGCAGAGAGATTAATGAAGGATTTTCAAGCAGAAGTAACAATCTGGTAAGAAGTCAGATAAACATTTCAATGAATCAGAAATCAGATTTCACAATGCCAGTGAAAGTATCAAAAACAGAGCAGCAATGACTCAGGGAATACAAGCAATATTGAGGAAAAAGTCGAGATAGCAAAGATTCACTGTGACTTGATAGAACAAAACTGGCTCACTCCTAGGTCTTAACTGATGTTAGACAGGATGACATGGGTGGGACTGGATGCTGAAGGGTCAGCTCAGCTTGGAGCACGAACAAAGTGCAAGTGGAAGAGGTATGTTCAGAGAGGATTCTGGCAAAGATGCTGTAGGCTGGGAAAATTTCAAAGGTGGCAGAACTTGGTGTGTGGCAACAAGAGTGTATTGCTGAACTGGAGAGCACTGTTGAAGGTGTAGAGAAGTATGAAGCCAGGGCTGCCCTGTCACCAATGACAAGGAAAGTTCATGCAGCTGCTGAATCGAATCAACAAGGGTCTCAGTAGCTTAACAAGTCTGACAAAGACAACACCAAGACTGGAAAGAGGTGCTGTAGCATGGCTGAGATAAAGGGACGAAGACTATCACGGGACAACTCTAACACCTGTGCACAGGGGGCAGCTCATTTCTTCTCTGCGTACATGACCCCACCCCCCAAAAGAGTCCTTGTCCTACAGAAAACCAGATACACTTTCTTAGATATTTCTGTGCTGGTAAGTGCAATAGCCCATATCTTTATTTTTTATCACTAAGCACCAAAGATTAAGAAATTAATGTAGATCCAAATAAATTTTAAACTACAAAAGACTGATCCCGCTACTAAGCAGTGGGGCAGGAACATGGAGTCACTATTAAGTGGCTCCTTCAGGACATCAACCTATGAAATATCCTCTTTTCTTTCATCACTTCTCCCAATTGTGATCCCCAACCCCTCCACCTCCTTCCCCGATTTTCTATAGGCTCCTTTAAAACTAGTGAGTTTGGGCCCTCCCTGGTGGCGCAGCAGGTTAAAGCACTGCACTGAGAATCTAAAGCCACTTCCGCATGAGTTCGATTCCCGCCTGCCCCGGAGGTGACCACATGGCGCAGCAGACCTCTCCTGACCCACCCGTTGCTCCCCTCAGCAGTGTACTTTGTTGATCTGCCTGTTCTGCTCCCCACTCTGTCTCTGGTGAAGCCTCTCACCACCCCTGCACCTCTGGCCTGTACCCCAGTTCTGTATACACAAATAAAAAAATCTTAAAAAAAAAGAAAAAAAACTAGTGAGTTTGTAGAAGGGAACACTAACTGGACACTCAGATAAAATCAAAATGGCAGATCCTCGGCTCAGTAAACCCTTTGTAGAATGCACAGTATGGCCAACATAATGGCTGACCAACATCTCCCCGAAGGACAAGAGCGTTACCTTGAGCAAAAACAATAATCACAAAGGAAAATACATTAACTACCACTCACAGGAAACCAATGTTCAAATAATAAAATTTGTCAGTGGGGGCAGAGTAAGGGGAACTGAAGGAAAAAACTGCCAATTAGTATCCTATACACACCAAGGCTTAGGTTGAAATAAAGACCTTTTGCAAAAACAAAGGAAGAATAACTTTTTAGTAATTCTATAGTGAGGCAATGTAGCACATATAGTTCCACGTACAGCATTGCCCAATCAGGGCTAAATGATTTCAGAAATATTTCAAGATTAAGCCTAATTTATCTGACTAATAGAGAAAAAGCTTATTTTTAATAAGTAACATCTATCTCCTACTCTGTAGGGGAGCAGAAAGGGATAGAGGGAGAATCAAAATTTTATTATCAGAGAAAGCAAAAATATATACAAATGGAAATCCATTACGAGTGGTATTAGAGGCAAAATAACTAACAATTCAGTCCCATATCATTATGGCAAAATATATTAACATCACTGGGTATAAAAGAAAATGGCAGAGCCAACAGAATAGGTAAAAGCCTGCCACAATGAACAATACCTAACATTCAACACAGCAAGGCTAATTCCAGAACCTGGTTATTAAGCTCAGAGTAAAAGAAGTTTATTGATCTGTTTACAACACTGTAAAGACAAGGATTAAAACTGCTTCTTTGTTCTGACAAACAATTCTGGAAAGTACTGGGTCCTTCACCTGCTCCCTGGTAGGTGCTTGGCAAGGACAGTTCCCCATCTCACAACCCTGCCTATTCATTCCCTGCCTTATACATTCTAAACACCCTCTGACAACATCCACTAACAATCCTCAAATCAAAATGGCATGCTTGCTGTTAAATGCCCATCTAATTACAAAAGTACATTACACTAATTCTTCATGTGAGGGGAATTCAGGTCTAAGGTGGATAATGATGAACAAAGAAGCAAAAGATACCAAAGAGAGTGCAGAGGAAGAATGGGAAAAAAAAAAAAAAGGACACAGAGTCAGAGTGAAGACTTTGTGACAAGTTCAAGATCAATCATGTACCCAAATGAATTGGATGCAGACCCCAGAACGCTGAGCCAGGGGTTGTCAGCACCGCCAGGTAGATTCACTTCCACGGCTGATGACTCTTGGGCAATGAGCATAGTGTCCAAGAGTCCACTTCAGTGGCTCAAGATGCCAAAGCCTGTCTGAGGAGGACAGCTCATCCTGGTTGAGGAGCTGACCACACCAGGAACAGCTCTTATAGGGCCCTCAGGGTCCTGTCTCTTCAACATGAGCACTGCTCCCTCTTTGCTTACCCAAGGTAAACCCACAAAGTTGCTCAAAGTATCCCTGCTTAATCCTCCTGGGGCTCTCATGCTCTGCAGGCTACAAGGAGCTGCTCCTGTGATCACTCAGTCAGCACATCCCCAGGGCCGGGTGGTGAAGTCTGTGTGTACCCAACAGACATCACCACCATCTGCCCAGCTGCTGTGTCTTGACCCTCCACTCTGGGCACCCCTTTTCCTCTAAGTAGCCTTCCTCGGTGTCAGTTAAAACCACTAGTACACTCCTCCCATCTCTGAATCCCAGTATTTTGAGCCCTGAACAACCCACAAAATTCAATAGAGTTCCCGCTCAGGTTGCACTGAATTCAGATCCCAGTGTTATGTCCAGGAGAGTTCCAGATTCCTTGTTAAAGTCATACACACTAAAACGTCAAGGTAATTCTAGCTAAAAGTTAATTTTATATTTTGTCAAAGTGAGGAAGGATGAAGTTTTTCAGTTGCCATTACTGTATTATCATAAGCTCGCTAAACTTCCCAGTTTTTCTAATTAACACATAGAGTAGCTACATCACAGAAAAGGTAGTTATCACTCATTTATTCATTCAAAAATACTTGAGTGTGTTGGCATTTTGCTACTTTCTAGGAACACAGTGAACAAAACAATTCTAACCTGCCATCATAATAACTTCTACACTGTGATACTTACCTCCAAAATAATCTGGCATACTCTCAGCATTGTATTTCATGGCAAAAGATAAATTGAGGAGGCAGGTGGAATATAGAGGAAATAAATATGCCATGAATGAAATGTCACAGGAATTCTTTGCCATTTAAGTCCTTATAAAGATTTTTAACAGTTATTGATAGGTATAATACTGGACACTAAAATACATACTACTCACAGATTACTAGTACTTTACTTGCAAAATTGCTATGACTGTACATATGCAGATAACAAATATATATCAAAACTGCTTGGACAGAACAGTTTAAGAGTAAAATAATCCTTTACAGCAAAATTTTCATGGCAAGAATGAGGAAAATAAAACAGCACAATGATTTAAAGTTAGTGTATTACATATATTATTACATATGTAAATACTATAATCCGTAAACTTTACATAAGCACATATATGTTTTCCTTCTAACTTAATGCAAATTTCTCTATTCTAAAGAATGTGCAAATATATTAAAAAGATTTGCCAAAATATATGTACAAAAAAAAACAATGAGGGAAAGAGTTTGTCCTTGGTTTTAACTTGCATGTGTACAGAACGATACAATACGTCCTCACAGAAGGATCAGATATTGATAAAAAAATTACATGTAGCAAAGATTAAAAAAATATCCTCTTAGGCTCTTTTTTTATGTCTTTGATGCTTGACAATGAATGTAGAAAAATTACTAAAGTATCAAAGAAGGACACAAAAATGACACTTGAAACCAACTGTCAGTATAGGACCTGGTTTGACAAACAGGTTTAATCCATGTCTTCAAAGGTCATGCTGTCGAGGTGAAGGATGAACTTCTGCTACTGAATTAGGCTGGTTGTAAGCCTGAGAAGTCTGCTGCTCCTCCTCCTCCAAATGAGTCACTTTATCATCTCTTTCTGCAGGAGGAAGATCATGATTTGTCCCCTCTTCACTAGCCAACAGGGTTCCAGGTAATTCATTCGACATTAGAACTTGCAAAGGTTCGGTTCCGTTTTCAATATCCACTTTAATCCCCAAAGCTTTAAGAATGTCACATTTGCACATAGGACATGTCCCATGTGCTAAAATCCAGGGGTCAATGCAATTCTTGTGGAAAAAATGTTTACAAGTCAGAATGCGAACTATATCATTAGGCTTGTAGAGCTCAAAGCAAACAACACAGCTATCTCCATTGGGATTTACCTCCACATCCCCTTCTTTCAGCACCCGAAGCTGGAGCTGCCCAAATGCTTTCTTGAGATCTACTGTCAATCGCTGCCATCTCCTGTTCTGAATCCTTGCTACCCAAAGTCTTCGAATATGGTAGAAGATGAAATATGCTAAGGTAGCAGTTGTGACAATCACAAAAGAGACAAAATAGTGATTCATCCAGATGATGTGTCTTCTCCCCACCTCAATCATGACCGTCACGCGAACACCCTTCCGAATTAAATGCAGAATCTCTGTGCCTTTTAAGTTACCGATCATCACCACCACAGTATCTTCAAAGGGCTGATGTGACATGGGGAAAACCTGGTTGCCAGTTCCTGGAAAGTTATAGATGATGACACCACTGGCCCCCTTCTCAGTGGCCACCTTGATTTTCTGCGTGAAGGTACAACCTCCCCGTTCCACAAGTGCAAGCCACGCCTCTGAGGTTTTCGATCTGTTGAAACTGCTATTGGGATGACATGCATTTTGAATTTTCCCCTCTGGTGGCACAATCACTCCAACTACTCTCTTCAAGGCAGAGCTTCTTCCAAACACTCCGGTCTCCCCTAACTCTGACAACACACGATTCCCAACGTGAAATGATATGTTCATGTATGCAGTCCAAACCGCGCTGGCTCTGCAAGGGCTCTGACTTAGAAGCCAGAGAAAACTCAACTTCAGAAGCCAGCAAGATGCAGCGTTGTTTCTGTGAGTGCCAACCTTGAGGTGATTCATCTCTCTCTTTGCCTAGTGACTGAAGGAACAACCCAACAAAGAGATGTGGTTTCCACATCTGTTGACCATCAATTTACGGTAACAGGAAGAAAATCTTCTGGGTGAAACCAAGTTCTACTGTCTTCCAGCATTTTTTGATAAGAAGTTCTTAAAGGCGTCTTATGGGCTTTAGATGTTTTATTAAAGAGAAAGAGAAAGACTGTAGTTGAAAAAAAGTTCCAGCCTGATTCCAGTGTCTATTTGTAGACACCGCTTAGTGGTGGGTAAAGTGATTATGACAGAAAGGAGAGTGCAGCCAATCAGGTAAGAGCTTTGGGCAGGCTGTAAATTTATTGGCTTAAAAGTTTCAAATGTTGTTATGGGTGATTAATGTGGTTCTTACAAGATGGAACCAATTCCTGAATGACACATAATAGAAGTAGGTGTAGTAAGCTAAAATTTACATACAAAATTCAAACACCACATGCCTTTTAGAACCTAAAAGTATGTGTAAGAAAACCATGTTATTTTTATTCACAGTAAGTAAAGAAAATAATTTCAATAAAATGGCAAGTTTTGAAAAAATGATTAAAACTTAGCACTATAACCAAACAGTGAGATAAAACTATGGACTCAGTAACATGACTTTCAGCTCCTCCTAGTCACCAAGACTAGGACTAAGTATGAACTGACTGATTAGTAAACCACTGTACTGAATTTGGTAAAGTTTGCTCAGAAGTTTAATAGTTCGATTTGGTTTTGATTTGTTTTTTAAAAGTAGGTCCATCAAGTTACTTCAGCTTCCCTTTCTCTGGTTATGCATATGGATATCAGGAATGAGAAAAAAAGGCAAATTTCTTCTTTCTCCAGACCTTGACATGTGTTATTAATCTAACAATATTTTGAGAGAAGAGGAGGAAGGGTGTAGGGGGAAAAGAATAAATATAGCAGTATTGGTTTAGCGCAATTCATTGTAAACAAAAATGGAGCTACTAATTTTAAAAAGAAAAACTTAAAGTTCACCACTGACAGCAGCAACTGTTAAAGGTCATGCACAGATACTTTAAACAAAATGTTTGCCCAAGTCAGCATTCCTCATGGAGCTCACATGCAGCTCTGCCTATATTTTGCTTCTCTGGTGTCAATGACAATGACTTCTACGCAAAACAAAGACAGTGAACACACAAGCCTTTGGAGTTACCGTTCACATTCTTGGGGTTACCTGTCAAGTGTTTCTTACTGACCGGCTAAGAAGCCAAGTCAAGGATTTGAACCTATGGAAAGAGTGCTAATGTGGTGGGGTTTCACCAGTACTAGGGGCTGTTTACAAATTGGGAATCAATATCATAACATGAGTCAGAATTAAGAGAAACAGGTCCTCACTGGCCCAACAAAAAGTGGCATAAAAAGTAAGTATAATGATGTGATACCTCGAACTCACTGTCTGAATTTCCTTCTCAAAGGTCATTCATAAGATTTCTTTTAAAAATGACCATTCATCTGATTTTATTTCCACATAACCTATTCATAAAGACAGTATAGCAGAGGGAGAGCATGTTGACCTATAAATTGCCATCTGAGTGGGACATCAGTCATTTAGCACCTCATCCACAGAAATTCTCATCAAAACAAAACCCCAAATATTTCCAGCCCTGTTACCCGGTGTTTAACTATTAGGAAAGAGGAAGAGGCAAAATAAGACCAGGGGGTCCTATTAAGAAAGATAATTGAAGAATATTTCAACTCAGTATGTCCTAGAATATCCAAGTATCCTCACAGACACATACCAAGATTGAGGTAAGAAAGATAAAGCACATACTAGCGTTGCTTCTAGAAGAGAAGCAACTCACTGGCTACAACAGGCTCCAGCAAGCGAAGGTCAGGTTCTGCAATGTGGCCTCAAACGAGGCCTGTAATGACTTAACATATTTTTAGTTACATATCAAAAGTGCTGTCATCTAATTATTTAGCATACCATTACCCACTCAAGTCTGTAGCTCTGGAAACCAGATTTCCTGGATATTAGTAAAATCAATTAACCATGCATAATTAAATCAAGACCTAATCCTATAATGAAGTTTATTCAGCCGAGATATTATTAGATATCAAAATTTAAACAAAATATGGAAACAGTGAAAATTCATAATTAAAAAGAAATGTTAAAATATCCCAGTTTTCTGTGGCATCTATGCCACAGTCAATGTAACCTGAAGATAAAGATGAATTTATTTGAACCCTACACTAAGTCCTTATTTGAATAAGTGCAAAAAAAGTATAACATTAAAACTTATTAGAAAAAGCAACAAGTTCCAATAGCGCCATGACATAGAGTTTTATTTTAAAAACATGAATTTCACCCTCTTTAGTACTTGGATAGAGAAAGTGAAGTTGAATTTTCGCCCTACGTAGAGTGCTAAAAGAGAATTCACCTAATTTTTATCTTGGGAAAGACTTCAGAATCTTCAGAAGCCACACTGGAAAACTTTTTTTTTTTTTTTTTTAATTTTTCAGAATGTCACTCTTGCACATGGGGCATGTCCTATGGGCCAGAAGCCAGGGATCAATGCACGCCTTATGGAAAAAATGCTTGCAAGTTAATATACGCACTACATCCTGGGCCTTGTACATGTCAAAGCAAACGACACAACTGTCTTCGTTTGGATCCAGTTCCTTGTCCCCATCTTTGAGCACACGCAGTTGAAGCTGGCTAATAGCCTTCTTCACGTCGGCTTTGATCTGTCTGCGCCTCCTAGTGGTCGAGTCGCGCACTCGCGATCCCCAGGCACAGTACAAGAAAAGGTAGGCGATGGTGGCGGCCAGGAAGGTGAACAGAGACATGACATAATGGCTCAACCAGGGCATATGCATCCTCCCCACTTCAATGATGATGGTCACGTAGACGCCTTTCTGAATCAAGCGCAGAAGTTCCATGCCTTTCAAATTGCCGATCATCACTGCCACTATGTTTTCTGTTCCCTGGTGAGACATGGGAAAGACCTTGTTCCCTGTACCTGGGTAGTTATAGATGATCACCCCATTTGCGCCTTTCTCTGCTGCCACGTTGATTTTACGTGTAAAGGTACAGCCTCCTCGCTCAATGAGGGCTAACCATGAGCCTGCCTGTTCGGGTAGGCTGAAGTTGGTCATGGGGTTACAAGCATTCTGGTTCCATCCCTCAGGAAGCACTACCACACCAGACACTCTTTCCAGAGGAGAATGATTCCCGAACACTCCACTCTCTCCTAGTTCTGATATGATCCGATTTCCCAGCTGAAAAGTTATGTTCAGGTGGGCTGTCCAAATGGCTTTTCCTTTCACATCAGGAAGGCTAAGTAGAAGAAAGATGCTAAGCATCAACAGTCGTGATGAAGCACCACTATGAGCTGAAAGAGTACTTCTCCGTAGGCTCATTCCTCCATCTGCCTCTGAACTGATAGCTATGAGAAAGAAAACATCCACCGTAAAAGAAGGCAAAGCTGTTGGCTTCAATTGTTGGCAATAACTAAAGCACAGAACTAGAAAAGGCCTAAGTGGATCAAAGGCACCCTGCTCCTTCCAGCATGTTTGTTTTGGGTAGATTAGCTTTCTTAGGATGAAACAAAATCACAAGAGTTGTTATTAGTACAATTTCAAGAAAATTATGACTTCCTAATGGGGAAATTGTGACATCAGCGGTAGTTAGACCAATCCAAGAGTTTATGTTATGGTACTGCATAGTGAACTCCTATTGGCCAAAAAGCTACTAAGCAATGACTTAAAGTAGGTAAGAATTTGAATAATCTTTAAAGTAATAAACAGGTAAGATTTTTTCTTAAAGCCCCAAGCTTCTTTACTAGTTCTAGATAAAGAGCAGCCTAACCATTTTATACTCATTGGTTTTCTATTAGAGAGGCAAAGCAGAAACCATTCATGTATGAGTGTATGTAGCTGTTAGTGGTCAATTCTCACACGCTCCTATGCTCCCCAATATTCCACTTAATGGGAATGGCAAATCATTGCCATTCTCTTTCAGTATTAAATACTATCCCAGGCCTAAAGATTCAACACAAGGACAGTGTCATCAATACTATATTCGCCTGACAGACTGCCATCTCGCAAGGCAAATTCAACTTTCTTCACTTAAAGATTTGCTAAGAATTTACTACACATTAAGGCAGATGCTAAGTATAGGTCGGTGGGACACTGAAGAAATTAGGCATGAGCCTACTGAGTGGACCTTGTTATCTAGAGGGTAGATTTTAAACAAATGTCAAAAGTATAACTGCTAGCTTGCAGAAAGGACTCTGCTGGGAAAGCACCGTGTACTGAAAGAAAAGAATGAATGTAAAGAGGAGCCAACTTCAGCTTAGGACTCCAGGCAGTGGTCTCAAACAGAGAGAGACTTGAAAGATAAGTGAGAATTATCCAAGCAAAGAATGAGGCAAGAAGACTTCAGGCAGTGGAAACAGCATTTCCAATGGCTTATGAAGGAAGGGACACGGCTCATCCAGGAGGCCAAAGGAACAGGAGCATAAGGAAATGAGAAGGGAGGGTAGTGAGGGTAACAAAGGCACAAAAAGCACTCAAGCATTCAGGGTCATGAATGTCAGGTGGAGGATTGTGGATTATGTACCTGTAACAAGGGAAACAGACTGAAGCCGGGAAGGTGAGCTAAACACGTTTCAAAGTTTTCACTTTTTAAGACATGCCCGTTGACAGCTGTCGGTGGAAAATGGATGGGAAGAAGAGGAGTGGTGAGATGGGCTTACTAGCAAAAGACCACAGTGACGTGGACTCTTAAGAAGCAGACACAAAGACAAGACCCAGTTACCTTCACGCTAGACTCAGCAAGCAGCTGGTAATGGAAGGGGTGGCAGTGGGGAAGAAATGGATGACTGAAGTGATCACCAGTCACTGCGTTGGTTTATTGCTGCAAGCTATAGCCATCTTGACTGCACTAGTGACATCTTAATGCTTGCTAGTTTTATTTTCAATCTTTATAGGAAGTTTTTTTTTTTTTTAAAGATTTATTTATTTATTTGTGCATACAGACCTGGGGTACAGGCCAGAGGCTCAGGAGCGGTGAGAGGCTTCACCAGAGACAGAGTGGGGAGCAGAATAGGCAGATCTACGAAGTACACTGCTGAGGGAAGCAGCGGGCGGGCCAGGAGAGGTCTGGCTCGCCATGTGGTCTCCTCCAGGGCAGGCTGCAGGTGGGAATCGAACTCATGAGGAAGTGGCTTCAGATTCTCAGTGCTGTGCTTTAACCCGCTGCGCCACCAGGGAGGGCCTTTATAGGAAGTTTTAATTGGCAAAATTTCCAATATTTATTGTTACTATCTATAGGGCATCTGCTACATAGCAAGGAGGTTATGAAGCCCAGTGGATACAAAAAGACAGAACCCCATTTCTCAGAGTACAAAATGGATGTGAATTTTTTAAAATAGATTATTTTATAGTTTTTTAAATGATGATGGCATTATAGTTTTTTTAAATTACAATTTTTATTGAAGAAATATTATAGTGAGATTAACTTTCAGGTGAACATTATAAAAATCTACATGCACATTAAGTTAGATTATGAACAAGTTGGGGGCGGGGGGAATTCCATCATTTTCACAAAAGCATTTAACTATACTTACTGACCCAAAGTACTTTTGTTAATATTTGCTTTTAAAAATGAACTTGGCACCAGTCAACTTGTGCCATTTATGCAATTTTGTTTAGGTATTATTCTGTTCACACCTGATATGTCATTACACATAGTCTTTTGCAAGCTTCAAATCGAATGTCAAGTCCTGGCTGACTAGTAACATTGACAAAGTGAAATCTTACTAAGAAGACAACTGAACATCATAATATTAGAGGCTCTTTGTTAAATTTGTGATTGTTTAACATTTGACGATAGAATATTTAAAAACATAGTTCTCCTTGTACTTTTTTATTTTGCTGGTTTTTAAAAGTAAAGAGTTTAAGCAGTAATCACATGTAGGCTTAAAGCATATCTCACATTTAGAACTTCCTTTTAAGGTTGAAATGACCAATTTGAAGAATGTATTCACTCATTATATTTTTTTCCCTGTAAAATGAAGTGTTCAGGACAATGACAGCTTGAACTCCCTCTTCCTTCCATTTGAGACTTAGAACAAATAACATACAAAAAATAATCCATTATCTCTAACACAGTGGTTCTCAAGGCAGGGACAGATTTGCTTCCAAGAGACATTTGGTTATTTCTGGAGTCATTTTTGTAGATACAACTCAGAGAATGACTGGCCTCTGACAGGTAGTCAGAGACGCTGCAAACACTCTCCTGTGTACACTGACATCCCTGCACAGCTACTCTCTGGCCTAGAGTAGCACTAGTATGTTTAAGAGACCCTGTGCCAACAGAACAGCCCTGGGAAGGAGAAGTAGCAGAACTAGCCCCAGCTCATTTGGTCTGTGATGGACAATCAGGTTTGAGCTCTTATCATGGTATGAACCTTTATAACTGACAGTAAGTACATCATGGATAATGCGTCTCACCCATTTCCATTTCCCCAGTTTTCCATGGAACAGAAATAGAGGAGAACCATAAAAATGGCCTGTTAGTCCATAAGCCTGGCTTCAGACCACACCCATTTTATGAGGACCAGATCTAAAACCTTCTGTTCTGGGGCAAGGGTGAATGGGAAGGGGTGGGTAGACTGGTTGACTGAAACTACTACAATCTTTCTTTTAGACTATTAATACATAAGACTTTAACTGCCAGGTATTAAAGAGTTTTCATTCTGCTGAAATCTGCAGTACACTAAAGAGAATTAAACTGATAGGATTGGTTTATCCAGTGGCTTGAAAATCCTGTTTCTTCCATCTTGCCATCTGCCTTTTTTATGCTCCGTAAGTTAGCTTTTACCTTGGCTCACATCATCATCTTCCAAGATCCTTCAAGATAGCTATTGCTGTCATAGATCTAAATAGGCAGGATGGCAGACAACACCCAGAAAGCACAAAGATTTTTCTCCTTGCCACATATTTATAAGATCAAGGCATTTTCTCCCAGAATCCTAGCAGACTTCCCTCCATGTCTGACTAGAATTGCTTCACAGATCCGCCATGCCTAGTAGAACTGCTGGAAATCAGTAGAATTACCATAGTTGTTTTATAATCATGATTGTTCCTGCTGTGGAGAACTCCATCCCTAGCTGGAGACATGGACCTATGAATCAGGATCATCGGTGCTCTTCCAGCCAGGGAAAAGGGTACCCACAAAATGGAACACAGGTAGGTGAACACACATGGTATCCATAGGCTCTAAATTCCTGAGGTTAACCCAAGGAAATGATGATTATAAACATCGCTTAACATGCAAAATGCACTATGCATTGTCATGAGTCAGGTACTGCCATGCGTGGGAGCTTAAGTAACAGCGGACACATGTGGCCATATCCTGAAAGAGGTCATCATCGTGCAGGTAAGAGACTAGTTACACAAAGATTATGGGTGTGCATTTATCTATCCTATAGTTTGGAATTAAATTTCCAATAAAGTATAATTTTCATTAAGTCAGGGGAGAGGAATCAGCTGATTCTTTCTGCTACTCCAATCTTGTAAGAATGCCCAAATCTCAAAAACATTACTCTGATAAGAAAAACTGCTAAGCACCTTCATTTAGCACTATCTGTCTGATGTCATTAAGATGCAGGGGAGACCAAAGAAGCTTCAGTAAATTACCCCACAAGTCACAATTTTCAGGGTAACACTATTATTAGGCTCTCCAAAAATCCACAACACACACTGAATTTGCATTTATGCCTGAAAACCAAAACTGTATAGGTTTCCTGTGAGTAATTAAATGCATCATAATGGGATTTGAGGGGAACAGAATACTGATTTGTTTACTGAGCAAAGAAAGCAAATAATGCAAATGACATTTTTTGAAAGAAGAATATTTGTAAAGAGTTTTAAAGCTAACACTAAATTTTAGCTTAAATCCTTATTATATTTGACTGCAAATTGGTAAATCCTCATGAGTATTAATACATTTCCTCACAAATTTCTCTCCTAAGTCATCACTATTATATATTCTCTCAAACATATGAAATAAAAAAGTTATATATACCAACCGACAATTTCTCCAATCAAGGATGGCGTTGTGAATAGGCTAACATGGAATACAATAAATTTTAAATTAATATATGCACTTTTGAATTCTACGAGTCAAACACTGCCAGGGCAGGTACAGATGAATGAAAAGTTTGGGAATAAAAAATGTGGAAATAAAGAACAGGGTTTAATAAATCTGCTAACTTGGTCATAATGACACCCCTATGAGTGTCAGTTGTTTCAGTAAATTCCAACAAGGAGAAATGCATTAGAAAGGAAGGCGAGGGGGTAAGAAATAGTAAAAACATCATTGGAAAACACTTCCCAGAGTTTATGACAGCACC